GGGGGGGGCGGGGAGGGGAGGGCGGGGGGCAAGGCCGGGCCTGCCGCTTCCCTGAGCATGAACACGTGGGTTGAGTACAGGCCTTGAAGCCAGGCCTGGGCCGCAGCCAGTGCCTTCCACCACTCTTCCCTGGAAACTCCCATGGGGAGTGTGGGGTGCATGGGAGCCACGCACAGAGATGGGAGGGGCCGGCCATGCACTTGTGGCCGCCACCCACTCTGCCAAGGAGCCTGTGGTGGAGGGGGCAGGGAACATGATGCCCTGGGGTGGGAGGAGGCGAGGGCATCGCCGGTGCCAGCCATGATGCCCCAGGTGGAAGGAAAGGCTTCTGGCGTGGGGCTGCTCGGGCCCCAGGCACGGGCTCCATCCTCGAGTGCACTGGGCTCGGGGCCCTGGGGGCTCAGGGCCTCGCCTCGGAGGGGGCCGCAGTACTCACGGCGCTGTCGATGCCCAGGGTGAGTAGCATGATGAAGAAGAGCACGGCCCAGGCGGAGGCCAGCGGGAGGGTGGCGAGGGCCTCAGGGTAGATGACGAAGATCAGCCCTGGCCCTGGAAGGGAGCGCCTGCATCACGCAGGCTCGGCCGCCGAGTGGCGTGCTCCAGTCCTGCCCGGGGACTCAGGGACCTGCCCAGGACTCCAGACCCCCCGAGGGCCCCTGCGCGTCCACGCCATGCTCCTCCCAACCGGAGTCCACACGGGCAGCGGGGTGGGAGCAGATGGGGATAGGCCAGAGGAAAGGCCCTGCCCTAACGGCCGTGGGCACCGATGATGGCCTTCCAGTTATCTGTCCACATCATGTCTGCAAGACACACACGTGCACACACACAATCATGCATGAACACGCATTCAGATGTACACATGTGCAAAGACACATGTACACACATGCATGGGCATGCATGAACACACGCTCACACACAACACACATAAGCACGCGCAGACACATGCAAACACACACAAACACACATGTACAAACACACAAACACGTGCACACATATGCATGGACATAATCATGCACGAGCACACACAAACGCACATGTTCACACATAAACACATGAATATGCACTGACACATGCAAACACACTCACACAGACACACATGTGCAAACACAAACACACATGCACACACATGCACGTACACAATCATGCACGAATGCACACACTTGCTCACAAGCACACATGAACACACAAACATGCACACACAGACACACATGCACAGCCACAAATCACACACTAACACACATGCACACACAAACACACATGCATGAACACACACAAGCACATAAACACCCACAAGCACATGCACACACATGCATAAACACATGCACAGACATGCACACATGTACACACATGCATGAACATATTCATGCACGGACACACACATACATTGCACGTGCATGCTCACAAGCAAAACACACATGCAAGAACACACATTCACACTGCCTAGTGGCCTAACTTCTAACTTCAGTGATATGCTGTGAACATGTTCCTGACCTCTGGGAGACTGATTAGAAGGATGTCCCCAGCACACGAGAGCTCTGAGTCTTCCCCCCAGGGGCCAGGTGTGCCCGTGCTCAGTTGGCCGGTGCAGCGCAGATGGCCAGGGGCAGGTCCCTCTCATATGGGGCTTCTCAGACGCATGTGGAGCTCCCACACCAACACAGGGCCCTGACTGATGTGGTGATAATGTCTGGAACCAGAGGGGCCCTCGTTGAGGCTCAGAGAAAAGCCTGTTACCTGCTGTCCCAGCCAGCGAGGGTCATGCCGGGCTGAGGGTGGCACGGACACAGGCTGAGGAGGTGTCTGCCCTGGCTCGCTGGGGGGACCACAGGTGCCTCCCGCTACCAGCAGAGAGGACTCAGAGGAGGCTGGGGCTTGGAGAGGTGGGGCACGGGCTGCAGCAGGCACCCCAAGACTCAGTACAACTTGGTCTCGAGTGACCCCAAAGTGGAAAACAGCTGCAGGCAACGGAAGAGTGGCCATGTTCATGGCCGATTTTAAAAGATGTGCCTCCTCCACCACCAGCACGCGCTCCAGAGTCTCGGCCTGCGAGATGCCACGTGGCATTTTCGAACTCCCCAAGTCTCGCAAGGCATGGGTCTGGCTCCACCTAGGGATGGGCACTGACCCATCTGAAACCAGAGGGGGTCCGCCTCCCCAAAGTCTTCCACGGGCCCTGCCGTCAGACAAGCAGCGGGGTGGGACCTGGACTCCACAGTCCTCCAGCCTCCCATGGACAGGGTAGCCTCTGGTGCGGGAGGGGCGGGTGTGTGTGAGGCGCTCTGAGGTTTGTGCGGTGCCGCCTGGAGTCCGGGAAGACGCTGCCGGCTCGATGAACGCAGTGTCAACATCTCTCCTTCCCTTCTGTATCTGAGCTAACATTTCCCGTTTTCTTGAGAATTAGGGCCAGAAATGACATTTACTCTGCCACGAAATGCACAGAAGACGTGCAACTTATTTCCAGGGGTGCATGGAGGCGCCGGCCAGTGGTTGCTATTTATCATAAAAAAGGGCAAGAGAGCGGCGGACGTTCCGAGGCCCCGAGCACATCCTGCGCCCTGAATGCATTTGCATGAGCTCTTCTCAACCCTTGCATCCTGGAGGAAGGACCCGGGCTCAGAACACACCCGGCTGGACCAGGACCCCGATGTCCGCTGCACGCGTAGGGGCAGGGAGCTCTCAGGTCCTGAGCCGCTCCTGCCTGCTAAGCGAGGTCCTGGTGCCTGCTCTGCAGGGGTCAGAGGGGTTGTCGAGGTCGGCCCCACCCAGGGCTCAGGGAACAGGCCAGGTGGGCCCTTTGCTGCCCTACCTCACCCCACCCTGGCGGAGGCCAGCCAGTGACACACCCACACCAGACGGGGGCTCTTCTGAGCAGCAAAAGCAGCTCAGCAGCTGCGCGGCGTCTCACGCCTGCCATCCCAGCACTGCAGAAGGCTGAGGCAGGAGGGTCCCTTAAGACCAGCAGTTCCAGACCAGCCTGGGCAACCAGCCTGGGCAACCAGCCTAAGCAGAGACCCAGGGGTCAGTCTTGGAGGGCAGTGGGTGTCTGGCACGTCTCCACTGCTGAGCGAGCCTGGACACAGGTGTGGGGTCTCGTCTGCAGATAGGATACCAAGCACCCTGGGGAGGCCCTGGGCGGCCAGGCTGACCGATTAAGGGCTCCAACCCCATGGCCTTCCACCCCACAGCCCATGCGCCCGGGCCCCTCTCAGCCCGGTGTCCTTGCCTGGCCTCCTGGCTCTTGCCTGCCTAGCACATGTCCCGCTGAGCTGGGGCCTCCCGCCGACTCATCTGCAACCCCAAGCCCTGCCCCCTTCCCACCCTTGCGGTGATGACTCCCAGGTATGCAGACACCTAGCCCTCGTGTTGGCCAGGTGGGCAGGCAGGGACACCTGTGCGGAGACCTCAGACCTTCCTGTCATCCACACCCCATCTAAGCGTGTCCTGGTCTCTGGGCATTTGTCGGAAGAGGGTTCTGAGCAGATTGGTGGCTATGTCAGCAATATCCCCCTTCTTTCTGGCAGGTCGAACTGCCGTCCAGCCCTGCCTTCAAGTGCTGCTTGGGACAACCCAGGCCTCCCCTTCCCTGAGCTGTATGGCCAGATTGTAGACATGCCTGGGGACCCTCGAGGACAACACCCACCCTTGACCCTGGCCCTATGCCGCACGTGATGTCTGTAGGAAGCAGGTTGAGGCACAGAGGTGCCAAGCTCAGCGGCCTCTGGGCTCGAGGCTCCACTGGCTGGGCAGCCCCAGGTGGAGGGCCCGAAAGGGGGAGGGAGGATGTGGGGGCCAGCTCAGGGCAATGGCGCATGTGCAGGCCATGGCAGCCATTGCTCAAGTCAGCAACCTTCACGGATGTCACTGGAGGCCTGCATGCTTCCCTCTCACGTATAGGGAAGACACTTGGCCCAGAGCGAGGGGCCAGCGCCCAGAAAGCAGGCTGGGGTATGGCGGAGGGCTCACCGTCCTTGGCCACATCCCCGATGGGCACGCTGTGCTTCTGTGCCATGTACCCCAGGAAGGAGAAGACAACGAAGCCGGAGGAGAAGCTCGTCAGGGAGTTGATGGAGGTGGTGACGATCGCGTCTCTGCGGGAACAAGACAAGCTGTCCCTGCCTGGCTCAGCGCGGAAGCTGCAATTTTCATCATTATTCCTGATTGACTGTGTCTGGGGAAGGGGGTGGGCGGGCCTGGAGGGGCGCTTTTTCAGTGAGCAGTGCCAGCCCCTCCATAGCCTGGCAGAGCTGTCCTCAGGCCACCTTAGGCCCCTGGTTTTGCCTCTCAAGGCCACCTTGGGCTCCCAGCTGTGCCACTCAAGGCCACCTTGGGGCCCCGGTTGTGCCTCTAAAGGCTACCTTGGGCCCTGGCTGTGCCTCTCAAGGCCACCTTGGGTCCCCAGGAGTGCCGCTTTAGGCAAAACCTCAGTGTTGGGACTCGGAACAGGGTAGAACAGGAGAGCGTCTTGTGTGCCCTGCCAACCCTGCCATGGATCCCTCCTCCACCTCACTGAGGGAGATGTCAGGCAGAGCTTCCAGAACCCAGAGGAGCGTGTGCCTCCCGAGGACCTCCCTAAAACACAGATCCTGATAGGTGGGTCTGGCAGTGCTCAGTGCGGTGTTCCCCATGAACTTGAGGGGTGCAGGCGCTGCTGGTCTGGGGTCCCACCCTGAGGGCCAAGAGGCAAGTAGGGGTCCTGAGTTGGCGGGGACCAGAGTCCTCCCCAGGGCGCCTGTGTGTCCCACAGACCCTGTGAAGGGGCTGCTGGTCTACAGGTGGGTGCAGGGTGCATCCGGGCAGGGCTGTCTTGGGACCCACTGTCCAGCTTGCCCTCTGTGGTTCCCCTGCAGTGGTCTGTCTGGGTGTTTTGCCGTGCTGCTGACTTTGTGTTTTACTGTGTTTTTGTCCCCATGATGGAAAAGAAAGTAAACAAAAGCCATTAAGGTTAGAGAAAGCAGGTCCCAGGTGATCCAACTCTGCCTCTGTGTTTGGGAGGGCTTGGGGTCCGGCATGGATTTCAGGTGCCAGCTGGGGGGCACTGGCCATTCAGGGATGTGGGAACAGACTTGGGTGGGCCTTGAGCAAGGGAGCACAGAGGGCGTGTCCTGGCAGGCAGCCGGACTGTCCTGGCTGCTCTGGACCCTCAGTGGGGAAACAGGCAGTCATATCTAGGAAGGTCCCTCCGGGGTGACACATGCCTTCACATGCTTCAGTGGTGCCCTCGAAGCGGGAGACAGCAGCCCACTGGTGGCTCTCTCCACCCCTGTCACCCCGTCACCTCTGTTTGAAACGACATGTGGCCAAGAGGTCCTATGAGCCCAGGCCACCTGTGCTCTGGTCACCCCAATCTGCCATCTCTGAGTCAGCAAGCCCCCAGCCTCGGTGATGCCCCATGGATCCCACAGGCCCCTTTGGGCAACAGAACTCGGGCTCACCTGTAGCAGTTGTTGGTAAACTTGTTGTAGCTGGAGAAGGCAATCAGCACCCCAAAGCCGACGCCCAGGGAGAAGCACACCTGCGTGGCTGCATCGATCCACACCTGCAAGGGCAGGGCAGAGAGCACGAGAGGTGCCAGAGGCCATCGCCAGGGCTGTCACGAGGCCGTGTGAGAGGACTGGCATGTGCTCCCCACTCCCTGTTCCCCGCTAGACACCATGGGATCCGGGAGCAGCTGTGCCGCCTCCACAGGCCCCAAAATGCAACCTCGTTGTCAACAAGCAAACGGCATTCACAGCCTTAAGGCGCCACATGCAGCCTCAGGGTTGGGCCCTCCCGGGGTCACCGGCCTATAGGAGCGTGGCTAGGAGAGGGCTGTTCCATGTGCCCTGGTGCTGGTCACGGGCTGGCCTGCCTGGTCAGGTAGCTACAAGAGGGTCAGGTGTCACGGGGAGTGCCTGTCTCCTCTCAGCCCTCCCCTCCCCTGCCGGGGCCATCCAGAGCCACATACTGTGCTCACCACCAGGAACAGCTGCCCGGGGCTATGGTCAGACCTCAACGCCACCCAGATCCAGTGCCCACAGTTGCCTCTCGGGGCCTTACCTGGTGCACTTTCTGTCCAGCACCTGGAATTGTCCTCTCCTTCCTGCTCTTTCCTGATCTCTCCTTTGCATCCATCCACCCATCTATCCATCCGTCATCCATCCACCCACCCACCCATCATCCACCTGTCATCTCTATCATCTATTAATCAATCATTTAGCATCCATTTATCTAGTTATATCTATCATCTCCATCCTTTATCAATCATCTATCCATCTAACAATATAACTTATCAATCATTCATCTATGTATGTATGTATTTATATATATATGTATACACACACACACACACACACACACACACACACCTGTATCTATCCACCCACCTTTTCTTTCTTTCTCTCCACTTACCCACTTATCATCTCTCATTCATCCATCCACCCATCCACCCATCCATCCATCCATCCACCCATCCATCCATCCATCCGCCTATCCTTCATCCATTCACCCACCATCCACCTACCCATCCATCCACCATCCATCCATTCATCCACCCACCCCACCCACCCATCTACCATCCATTTGTCTGTTTGTCCATCCACCCACCCACCCGTCTGTCCACCTGCCAATCACCTGTTCATCTACCCACCCACCCATCCACCCACCCATCCATCCATCTGCCATCATCATCTATCCATCAATCACCTATCATCCATCTATTTATATCTACCATCTCCATCACCTATCAATCATCCGTCTATCTACCATCTATCCTCTCTGAATATATCTACCTGTATCAATCCTCCCCTTCTAGCTCTGGTCTACCTACCTACCATCTACCTTCCATCCATCCATCCCATCTATCTATCCCCCTCATATTTGACAGCCTTTTCTCAGCGTCACCAGTCCTCTGAGCACCTTCCTGGTGCCTGTGTCTGCTTTGGGTCTGTTTGCTTCCTCTTGAGACTGCCTGTTCCTCTGGGATGAGCCCTGGGCTCTAACTGCCATATGCCCCTCCTGTAAGCACACTTCTGGCTTTCTTGGGTCCTGCCTGGCTCTGCTGTCTGCTGAGCTTGCTGCCCTGGTCATCCCCTATTTCTCAGCGCCCACAGAACATGCCTACTGTGCCTGCCCCTTACCTCCCATTCTCACATGGGCTTCCCACCCACACCCAGATGTGCGGTGGCCCCCGCTGCCCTGTGGGCCTGAGAGCACCATGTCCACATGCCTTCTTCTCACTGCACCTGCCAGCTCCCACCTCCCTGGGGCTTCCTGGGGCACTTGGGACCACAGCTGTCTGTCCCTTCCCCCCATTCCGCCCCATAGCTGACTCAGATTTATACCTTTCTGCTTCCTGAGGACCCTAGAACTGACTTTCCACTGACCCATCCCCATTGGGCAAACCTTCCTGGGGCCTCCCTGCCCTGGCTGAGACTGCCTTTCCCCTCCGGACACACCCTCCTCTCACAGTGATGCAGACACCCCGAGAGGTTTGGGGGCACCACAAGTTGTCTTATCTAGTCCACCTGACTTCCAACAGCCCCTTGAGAGCTGTCGTTTCTGTCACATCAACCTGCTACCAATGGCAACTTCCAATCAGGCCTGTTTCCTAGACATGGTTCTGTCCTCTCTCTTCTCTCTCTCTCTCTCCCTCCCTCTCCCTCCATCTCTCTCTCTCTCCTTCCCCATCCCCCTCCACCCCCCTCTCTCTCTGAGACAGGCTCTTGCTCCATTGTCCAGACTTGAGTACAGCAGTGTGATCACAGCTCACTGTAACCTCAAACTCCTGGGCTCAAGTGATCCTCCTGCCTCAGCCTCCCAAGTAGCTGGGACTACAGGCATGTGCCAACATGCCTGGCTAATTACAACATTTGTTTTTTATTTTATTTTATTTTTTTAATTTGGAGTCACACTCAGTCGCCCAGACTGGAGTGCAGTGGCCGCTCCCGGCCACCGCAGCCTCGACCTGCTGGGCTCCGGTGATTCTTCCGCCTAGGCTTCCAAGTAGCTGGAACTACAGGTACACGCTACCACGCCTGGCTAATTTTTTTGATTTATTGTAGAGATGAGGTCTCGCCAAGTTGCCTGGGCGTGTCTCGAACCCATGGGCTCAGGCAATTCACTCACCTCGGCCTCCCAAAGCACGGGATTACAGGCTGAGCCATTGAGCCCAGCCCTATTTTTCATTTTTTAAAGATGGAGTCTCATTCTGTTGTCCAGGCTGGTCTCAAACTCCTGACCTCAAGTGATTCTCCCATCTTGCTTTCCCAACATGCTGGTATTATAGGCATGCGCCATAATGCCCGGTCCAGATATCTATCAATAGAAACCCATCTCTCACGGCATGGCCAAGTCTCCTCTCCAAATATTTTAGCTAAGAATTATTTTTTCCTTTGCTGAAGGAATCACAGCCTGACTCTAGACACAGTTTTTGAGAGCATCTGACTTAGATCGTGCTCAATGTGTCACTGGTTTCCTGAGGAGGGAGCCCTGACTTCTGCAAGTCACACCTCAGACCTATGGGACAGTGAGCATGGAACCCTAGGACTCTCCCTGTGCCTGTGGCCCCTGTGGATGGGGCAGTGAGTGGGTGTACTCACGGATGCCTCGCAGAGCCGGTAGAAGTCGACGCTCAGGTATGCTCGAATGCCGTCAATGGCTCCTGGAAGGGTGATCCCACGCAGGAGTAGGGCCGTGAGGACCACGTATGGCATAGTGGCTGTGATCCACACCACCTGCAGAGAGGACAGTCACCATACTGCCCAGCCTCTTACAAGGCCCCAGCAGGAGCAGTGGGACACGAGACAAGCACAGGCACCCGGTGGCATCCTGGAGACAGAGGTGCCCATGAGGGGGAGCCGAAAGCCCCAGACATTTCATAACACCAGCCCAGAAAATGCCCTCTGGAGTGAGCTGGCTGGGGGGCTTCTGTCCTGCACATGTCCCCGGGGGCTGGAACAGCAGCAGCAGCTTGGCGGGAAAGGAACATTCCTTTCCTGAGTCTGTCTGGGAGCTGGCGGGTGCAGTGGCCTCCTGATGAGTGAGTTCACACCATGTGAATGGCACTGCAAGATGTGTGGGGGTAACTCTGGGCGTGTCCTCATGGAAGGTCCCACGGCGGGAACCACACCACAGGGACAGTTGCACATGAAGGACACAGTTGGTCAGAGAGGCTTTGGGGGCCCATAGAACAACCGAAATCATTTAATTGGGAAAAAAAGACGTGCTTGCCTTCCTGCTGGAAACACTTTGCAGGAGGTGCCTCCCTTGTGATGCCCTTCCCTAGACACAGCTATGTGTGTACGTGACACCCAGCCATGACCACATCTCCACTCCCAACCCCACCACGGCCACATGGCTAACCCTAACCCAACCATAGTCAAGTGTCTAACCCCAACCCAACCATGCCTACACGTCTGCTCCCAGCCCAACCACAGCTACATGTCTACTCCCAACCCAACCTCAGCCATGTGTCCACTACCAACCCAACCACAGCCATGTATCTAATTCCAACCCAACCATGGTCACACGTCTAACCCCAACACAGTTGTGGCCACGTGCCCATCCCCAATTCAACCATAGTCACTTGTTTAACCCCAACCAAACCACAACCATGTGCCCCATAGGGTCCACCTCCAACACAACCATGGCCACATGTCCACTCCCAACCCAACTCCTGACACACGGCCATGTCTCACCCCAACCCCACCACGGCCACATGTCCATCTCCAACCCAGTCATGGTCATGTGTTTAACCCCAATCCAACCACACTCTGTGTCCCAAAGGGTCCACCTCCCCAACCCAACCACAGCCACGTGTCCACCACAAAGCCAAACATGGACACATGTTAACCCCAAAGACAGCCATGGCTATGTGTTCACTCCTAACCCACCACATACATGTATACCAGAGGGTCGACCCCCAACTCAACCATGGCCACATGTGCCTCTGGTGGCCCTATGTCCATGGGCCCAGCTGCAAGTCTGGAGCCTCACCTTCCCCGAGGTCTTCACTCCCTTCCACAGGCTGAAGTAGAGCAGTACAATGACCAGCACCAAGCAGCCTGTGAGCTGCCACCGCGGAGGGCCCAGGTCATCGATGCCGTGGCTCTGGTGGAGGTGCAGCACGCCGCGCCTGCAGAGGGAAGTCAACGGGGCCTGGAGATGCTGCCCCCAGGCCTGAGCTGGACATAGCATGGCAGGACGCACCCAGCACAAGGGAGGCCCCAGGAGGCCTGGTCCCACTGCTCAGCAGCCCTGCTCATTGGAGCAGGGGAGGGAATGAGCACCTCAGGTCTTGGAAGGAAAGGAGCTATAGAGACCAGAAGGAAGTGCTGTGTGATGCACCTGCTGCTGCCCACAGGATGGCCCAGGTCCCTCTGCAGGGGTGAGGTTGAGCAGACTCTAGCAATAATGCAAGACACCCAGATGCCCGCCACAGGATGGCCCCAGGTCCTTCTGCAGGGGTGAGCCTAAGCAGACTCTATCAATAATGTAGGACACCCAGACACCTGCCACGGGACGGCACCAGGTCCCTCTGCAGGGGTGAGGCCGAGCCGACTCTAGCAATAATGCAAGATAACCAGACGCCTGCTACAGGACAACCCAAGGCCCTCTGTAGGGGTGAGACTGAGCAGACTCATTCAATAATACAAGACATCCAGACGCCTGCCACGGAATGGCCCCAGGCTCCTCTGCAGGGGTGAGGCCGAGCAGACTCTAGAAATAATGCAGGACACGCAGGCACCCACTCTGTTTTCTGAGGGTGGAGGCTCATGGCAGCCATTAGTGCCACCATGGCTGCTTGAGGACCCCGAGGACCCCATGTGTTGGGCGATTCTGTCCCTGCTTCCGTCAAAATCCACCACCTGTTCCACCCAACTTTATGAGGGATTCCCAGAGGGTAGGACAAAAGTCAGTGTGGAGATAAGATGGAGCTGACAGCCAGCCATGCAGTATCAGCCCATGTACAGATCCCAGTGCTTTCCATATGGTAACTCATTAAATCCTGGTGACATCTGCAGGAAAGGTGGCGGCATGACCGTTACTGTATGTACCTGGCAACAGGCAGACGCTGTACTGCCTTTCCAGATGGCAGCTGTGGGCCTAAGGTGAGGCCGTGCGTATGCCACAGGCAGAAGAACCACTGCTGCCTGACTTGCTTTCACTGTGGGTCCCTGAGGTCCCCAGGAAATAAGCCCAACACTCCTGGCAGAATGTGGCTGAGCCCAGCTTTCCAGGGCTTTGCACGGCTGCAGGTGCCACGGTGCCATGTTGTGGGAATCCGAGTCTTTTTCTTTTTCTTTTTTTTTTTTTGAGTTGGAGTCTCACTCTGTCACCCAGACTGGAGTGCAGTGGCCGCTTCCGGCCACCGCAGCCTCGACCTGCTGGGCTCCGGCGATCCTTCCGCCTCAGCCTTCCAAGTAGCTGGAACTACAGGTGCACGCTACCAGGCCCTGCTAATTTTTTTGATTTATTGTAGAGATGAGGTCTCGCCTACCCAGGCGGGTCTCGAACCCGCTCAGGCAATCCACTCTCCTCAGCCTCCCAAAGGCACGGGATTACAGGCTGAGCCACCAAGCCTGGCTCAGAATCCGAGTCTTTAAGCTCCAGAATCAGAGCCAGACACACCAGCTATTGGCAGCAGGGAATGCCTGACAGGCTCTGAAAGGGCTGAGCTCAGTGCTCCTGTGCCGCCCCAGGTGCCAGGCCCAGACCCAGGTGGGTAGGGCAGACAGACTGCTGCCCCACTGGTACTGCCACCGCCACTGCCGAGGGTGCAAGTCATTCGCTCGTGAGGCTGCCTGATGCCCCCACTGTGTGGGGAGCATCACCTGCCCTGGAAGAGGTCACACCTGCCTTAGCTGTACCTTTTGGGAGTCCCAAGGTCTCCCTCCCCTGGCTCTGCCTTGTACCTGGCTCTGTGCCTGCTGGCCAATGCCCCCTCGCTCTGCTATCCCAGCTGAGCCTCATCCCAGAGAGCCTCTGAGGCCCCATGGAATTGGAGAGCAGCCCAGACCTCTCCCAGAATAACTGACTTCCTGCCTGCCATCCAACCACACCTGGGCAGGTACAGTGTCCCCCACATGCACGTGCATGACATACACAATGGTACCTCATGGCACAGGACCCTTTGCCCACTGCCTGGAGAAAGGAGCAAACTCAGCTAAGCGGCCACAGGTGCCCACAGACCCTGGTGGACACGAGCGAAGGACAGGCTCAGGAGCACGCTCCTGTATTTGGGACCTGCTCACAATGTGATTCCAAAACACTGCACACACCTGGTTTCACCGTAAAATGTTTAGGTTGCATTTGGGGGCAGTGCACTGTCTAGGTCCTTCAGTCATATGTGAAGTGGTGTGATGTCACTTGAAGACAGACTGAGAGTAGTTGAAGGTGTGCATTGTAAACCCTGTTATGTCCACCAAACATCAAGGCAAAGCCTAGTAGTGTTGATGAGATGGAAGACTGAACATTAGTTTATTCAAAAGAAAGATTAAGAAGAGGGAACAAGAAGCAAAGAAAACATGGGACAAAGAAATAGCATGATGGAAGGCTTCAATCCAACCACACTGCCAACTTTTAACGGGAACTCCAATTACAAGACAGAGCTTGCCATATTGGATAAAAAAGCAAGAACTAGCTTTAGGTTGTCCATAAGAAACCACCTTAAATATACTGACACGTATAGATTAAAAATAAGAGGATGGAAAAGATATACCTTGCAAACACTAATCAGAAGAAAGCTGGGGTGACCATAGTGATATCAGACAAAGCAGAATTCAGCACAAGACATAGAACCAAGAAGAACATTTCATGGGGTAAAGAGGTCAGATCAGAGATGTGATATGCATAAACAGGTAACATTTCATAACAGAGCTTCAAAACATGAAGGAAGCAAAAACTGATCAAACTGTGAAGGGAAATAGCCAAGTCTGCAATTATAGTTCAATGGAACGAGAATAGTTTCAATCAAACACCCTTTGGTGACAGGGTAACTTCAATCAAATATCTTTTGGGGACAAGACAGAGTCACATCAACAGAGCATCTTTGAGTGATGAAGTAATTTGAACAGAGTATTCTTTGGTGATAGAGCAACTTCAATCGAGCCTCCTTTGGTGATAGAGAAACTTTAACAGAGCATCCTTTCATGACAGAGTAACTAGAGAAAATGCGGTAGAGTATCCTTTGGTGGTAGAGTAGCCTGCCCATCCCTCAAATACTGTGAACTTACAGGCCCCTCCCCCTGCACACCATGGTCTTTGTTCCCCAGCTCTGTGTGCCCACACATTGTCTCCTGCCGTCCCCTCTTCGATTGCACACTAAGCCCGAGAGCTGAGGACACCATCAGAGCACATGCAGCCTGGACCTCCTTCCCATTGACCAGGGCATTAGTTTAGGGAGTGGAGGGTAACTACGCCAACTGCAAGCAATGGTTGTTTTTCTCCCTTGGGATGCTGAAGTGCACTTGGGCGACCGGGAGACTGTCCCTTGTTAGACAATTGTGTCACTTCTCATTTGCCCATCACATGTAAGGGTCCTACCAGGTACTCAGATAACCTTGCCTGTGCCCATTTCTCATGGGTGCCTGGTCAGGTGTCCTTCAGGCAAACTGAGACATATCCCAGGCAGGACATACTCCTCGCCCATGCCCTGCCCTCTGAATCCAGCTGGACCTCATCCCGAGAACCCCTTCCTGGAGCCCCAGCTTGGACTGTCTCTGCCCTGCCAGGTTCTGGTGGCCCTGCTCTGCCATGGTGGGACTCATCTCCACCCTCCTCAGACCTGATCCCAAGCCACCAAAAGGTCATTTTTGTCTTGAGTCAGTGGCCACAAATGCCCTCGTCTCGGAGACAGATGCTGCATTTCAGAGACCCTGCCTTAGTCAGGATGGGCAACCCAGCAAGGGCGCTGAGCTCGGCTGGCAGGGTGCATGAAGGTCAATGCACCCCCACAGCCTGGTGCACCGCTCCAGCTGGGCACCCCTCGAGGGCCTGCCTGCTCTGTGGTGCACTTGCCAGCTCTCATTTCAGGGTAAAACTCTAGGGGGAGGTCGCTCAAGAAGGGGCAGCCTTGGGTGGAGTGTGGCTTGGGGCAAGGTGTCTCATGCACACACACACACACATATTCCCTAGAGGTGCCAGGGAGATGGTGGACCACGGGGGTAGCCCTGGCCCTGCCAGGCTGGGCCAGGCCATGTGATGATGATGAGGGGCCAGCAGAGGTTGACTCGAGGCCCAAAGGGACTCAGAAAAGCCAGATTCTGGGAAAGAACCCACTTCAGGGGATGGGGAGTAGGAAGAGACCTGGGAGGCCGGCTGGTCCCACTGGACATGAGTGTGCAGGTCGGGGGGAGGGGCTCGGAGGAAGAGAGAGAGCGAGCTGTGTGTGTGATAAAGAGAACCATGAAGAGTGGACAGTTGATGCACCCTGTAGACAGGGACTCTCTAGGGACGCTGGAGTCATTCCCCGAAAGGCATCATCCTGAAAAGCACAAGGGTCTGAAAGATATGGCTCAGCCCAGCCCCTGAGAGAGGTAGGGCAGGGAGGAGGGTGAACCAGAGGCAAGGAGGAGGGTGAACTAGGGACAGGGGGAGGGTAGGGTGGAGGCAAGGGGAGGATCAACCAGAGGCACAACTGCCGCCCCAAGAGCCCAGTGCCCAAAGCCCCTGGCAGCTCTTGCCACCTGCACCACTGCTGGGAGCAAGAAGCTGCAAGAGGCCTGCTCCAAGTTCTAGCCTGCTATGTCCTGACTCCGCGAGGCTGTACTGAGCTCATAGGACCACCAACATGACTCAGAAGCACGTCCCCAGAATGCTAAGGGCTGGCACAGGGGGCAGATCCTGGCCAGGATGATCCTCTCCACCCTGGCAGGTAGTGGGGCTGGGTGATACCACGACACTGCCGTTGAGGGCCTGACCCTGTCCCTCCCGCTCCCAGAGGGGGCAATGCCTACTTACTCGAAGTACTCGGCAGCGGGTGTGGTCCCGAAGGTATCGTTGAGGCCTGGGCCGCCGCTGGAGTTGTTAGGGCCAGCGTCTGAGCAGTTGGGGCTGTTCCAGGAGTTGTTGCAGTGGACCCAGGGGAGCTCTGTGCTGAAGGAGGAGAAGAGGTAGTGCAGCGCCCAGGCGATGATGACGTTGTAGAAGAAGCCCACGTACAGCGAGATGAGGATGACTGTGAAGCCCACGCCTGGGGACGGAGCACAGGCCGTGTCAGCACCGCCCTCCCCCGCTCCAGGGTATGTCTCCACAACCAGCTGCAATGCCAGAGACATCTTGAAACATGGCAGGACAGCTCACAATTGCAGGGAAGGGGCTGCACACCCTCCAGAACCCCCTATGTACACACAGGGGCCCTCAGGGCATCTCTGAGGGACATCCGGGGCTAGCAAGGTCATTCAGAGGTATGGCAGAGTAGCCAGGACCGCCCTCATATGCTCCGGGTCACCCAGGGTCAGCTAAGGTCACCCACAGCCATACCAAGTAAGGAAGCACCATCCATGGTCATCCACAGTTCCCACAGCCACCAGAACCAACAAAGATCAACCAGGCTCGTTTAGGGGCATCTGGGACACTTTGGGTCACCCAGGACAACCCAACCCAGAGTCATCTGGGGCTACAAGGTCCTTGTGACACCCTCAGAATCATCCACAGCACCCATGGCCTCCCAGAAGCACCCAGGCCATCTAAGATCATTGGAATGTTCAATGTCTTCCAGAGCCATCTAGGGCCACTAATAGTCACTAAAGGACAATTGGGGTCTTCCAAAGCCATTCAGTTACTCACACTCATCAGGACCATCATAAGCACCCAAGATGACCCATGATCATCTAGGCTAATCCAGAGTCACCCTGAGTCACAGGGACCACCCATGCACAGCCATCTACAGCCATTCATGGCCATCCAGGACCATCTATAACTACTTTTCCCCTTCCCCAAGACCATCCATGATCATCCAGGCTAATTCAGGGTTACCCTGAGTTATGGGGACCAGACATCCACAGCCATCTATGGCTATCTAGGATCATTCATACCCATTCATGCCCCTTCACATCACAAGATTACCCATGATCACCTAGGCTAATTCAAGTCAACCCTGACTCACAAGGGCCATGACCAGTCACAGATCCATGGCCATTCATGACTATGCATAACTACTCATGCCCCTTCCTCAAGACCACCCATGATCACCCAGGCTAATCCAGGCCCACCTTGAGTCACAGGGGCCATCTATGGCCATCCACAGCCATCCATAGCCATTCATGGCCATCCACAGCCATCTATGGCCTTCCAGGTCTATTCATAGCCATCCATGGTCATTCAGAACCATCCATAGCTACTTTTCCCCTTCCCCAAGACCATCCATGATCATCCAGGCTAATTCAAGGTTACTCTGAGTTACAGGGGCCATCTGTGGCCATCCAGAACTATCCACAGACATCTGTGGTCACCTGGGGATATCCATAGACATCCACAGTCATCTATGGCTATCTAAGGTCATTCATACCCCTTCATATTACAAGATTATCCATGATCACCTAGGCTAACCCAAGGCAACCCTGAGTCACAAGGGCCATTCATGACCATCCACAGTCATCCATGGCCATCCATGACTATGAATAGCTACTCATGCCTCTCCCTCAAGACCACCCATGATCATCCAGGCTAATCCAAGACCACCCTGAGTCACAGGGGCCATCTATGGCCATCCACAGCAATCCACAGTCATCTATCGCTATCCACAGTCATCCATAGCCATTGATGGCCATCCACAGCCATTTATGGCCTTCCAGGTTTATTCATAGCCATTCATGACCATCCAGAACCATCCATAACCATCCATGGCCATCCACAGATATCTATGACCACCCAGGAGCATTCATAGCCATCCAGAACTAGGCACAGCCATCCATAGCCATTCACAGTCATCCATTGCCATCTAGGACCAACCCCGGCCATTATAGTCATCTATAGCCATCCACGACCATCCACAGCCACTCAGAACCATCCACGGCCAACCAGGACCATCTACTACCATCCATGGTCAGTCGTTTATAGCCATCCACAGCCAGTCATCCATGGACATCCAGAACCACCCAGAACCATCCATGGTCATCCAGGACCATCCACAGTCATCCACAGCCACCCACAGCCATCCAGGACCATCCACAGCCATCTGCATCAATCCACAGCTATCTAGGACCATCCATGGCCATCCACAGTCATCCACACCCATCTAGGACAATTCATGGCCAACCACAGCCATCCATGGCCATCCAGGGTCATACACAGCCTTCTACAGACATCCATGACTATCCAGGATGATTCACAGCAACTCAAGTCTCCCCTCCCACAAGATTACCCCTGATTACTTAGGCTAATCCAGGGCAACCCTGAGTCACAGGGGCTATCCATGATCATTCACAGACATCTATCACCATCCACGACTATCCATAGCTACTCATGCTCCTTCCCCAAGACCACCCATGATGACCTAGGCTACTTTGGTGCCACCCTGAGTTACAGAAGCCATCCATAGCCATCTAGAACCATCTACGGTCATTCATAGTCAGCCACGGCCATCCATGGTGAGCCACAGCCATCCATGGTCATCCAGGACCATCCATAGCTAAGTATGCAACTTCCCCAAGACTATCCAGAGCAAACAGAGTCATCTAGGGCCATTCACAGCCACCTAGAGCCACCCAAGTTCACGCAGACCTTTCATGACCATCCAGGGTCTCTCAGGGTCACATATGACCGTCCAGGGATTCTTAGAGTCACCCAGGGACAATAAGATCATCAAGGGCCACCTAGGCCATGTAAAATTATCTGCCGTTTCCTTGGGCCATCCAGGGCTTTACATGACCATCAGGGACCACTCAGGCCATGCTTGATCATCCACAGGGTCTCCCGGGGCCATCCAAGACCAGGCCCGCCTAGGGCCATCTGGGGCCTTATAGAGGGCTCTTTCCAGGGTCACAAGTCTGGTGTGTGGGACGGTCCTGTGGAGGCTCCTGGTGAGCCCACACAGAGTGCAATGAGCAGTCTTGGTGGTTGCATCATGACAGAGCTTCACATTCTTGCTGCTGTGTTCACATTGCCAGGCTTCACGCAGAATTCTTTTCATTCCAGTGTTCCTTCTCGGTTTTGTTGCTACAACCAGCTTGGGCTACAGTTCTGCTTCCTTAAAACGTGGTTGAGTGCTATGCCCTGGGTCTGGCCACGCTGGGGAGAAGAGTGTCTTCAAGGTGACTTCTGCAGCAGTGGCTTTGGCACCTCATGAGAATCCCCTTCCTGCACTGGAAGCAAAAAGAAGGCCCAAACGCTCATTTGCGTGACGCAGAGCCAGAGCCAGGATGGGAGTGCATGTGCCCCCTCGTGGAAGGTGCGCTCAGTGGTATGCTGTTTCTTCTGGGAGGCCTCCCCTGTGGTGTGGAACTGGTCAGTATTAGATAATCCTGCACTGCCACATGCTCATGGCAGTCCCTAGCGGAGGCTAGATGTAACTCACAGGGAACGTGCCCAGAAAGCCACGCCAAAGTCACACTGTGGGGAAGCCGTGTTGTTTCTGAGTGCTTGGACGCTTCCTGGTTGACTTGAAGGTCTGGTATGAGAATCTTTCAAGGCTGGAACTTTGTGTACCGAGGTCTTTGAGACTCTGGGAGCTCAAAGACACCTTTGACCCAACACCAGAGCAGATCCCAGTCCCGTGCTGGAGGAAGGGCCGGCTGTGCTCTGTCCTTCTGGAGCTGCCACCTGCAGGTCCCTCCCCTGGGCAGCCAGGCTTCTGCAGTGGCGCAGCAGAGGCCAGCGCGGCTCCCGGTCAGCAGCATAGCACAGTACCTATGCTGGAGCCTTCCTGGTCGAGGGTGCCTCCCGCACGGTCTGGGCGCCAGGGTGAGGAAACGGGTCCCTCAGAGGGAGGTTACCTGCATAGGTGACTTGTCTGGTTCTTCTAGTTCCGCCCTTCCAGAAGGCAGCGCCCCGGCCTGGACCAGGAAGCGCAGCAGCTCACTGACCGGCCAGCTCCACCATGAGTGCCTGGAGCTCATGGAAAGCCCAGCCACGAATCCAGTTCCTGTTTGCCAGAGAACCTTCTCATGGCCCCTGCTCCCACACTGCCACAGGCTCTGAGCTAAGCCATCCTCACACATTTATGCCAGGGAAACTGTCCCCCCAGGGAGGGGGTGGACTTACTTTCTGCTAACATTTCCCATGAAAATATTAATGAAAACACATTAATGTGTGTCTCTTTTCTGACACCCAGGAAGCACATGGCTAAGTGTGAAATTTCATCATGGCTCTTAACGGCAATTTTCTTAAATTTCTATTTTTCTTAATATTTCTTTATGTTAACCTGTGTGTGCTTTATTTTTTCCTTTTAAACCACCTTAAATTCTTTTTTAGAGGGTTTGACAAATCACACTAATATCAACTAAAACCCGGCATATGCCTATTTTCTATATAATGCAATCGGGGGCTGGCGTTTCCATGGCACACATGACAGAGACAGCCTGGGAAGGAGCATCCCACTAGAGTCGGTGCTGAGTCCCCAAGGAGCATGCAGGCCCCTCCTCCACTGTCCACGCTGCCGCCCTCAGGGTGTCTACAGACCCTGCCGCAGGACAGGGTATCACACTTGGATTCAGGGGCTTGACTGTAGAAGACAAACCCTGACACAGCAGCCCTGCCATGTCTCCACGAGCCACAGGACTGGTGTTTATGGAGAAAGACAAGAGAGAATTCCTCAGCCTTCCATCTGGGTGGCTTCAGTATCCGCTGGCAGTGTGTGTGTGTGTGTGTGTGTGTGTGTGTGTGTGTGTGTGTGTGTGTGTACACACATGTGCACTCATACTGGAAAGAGACAGAGGAAGAGAGAGAGGGAAAAGAAGAAAAATAGAGACAGAGAGAGTATTGGGAGAGATAGAGAAGGGGGTAGGGAAGGGAGAGGACTGTGAGTCCTCCTCCCTGGAGTCTCACTGCAGGGCTGAAGCCAGCGGAAGCCTCTCACTGTTGTGTCCACCCGAGGGGTCCTGGTGGGACAGTACAGGAGAAACCGTGGTGTGTCACAGCCTCCGAGCAGCCGGCCTCATCACAGGCTCTGCTATCGGCTTTTGAAGGTGGGTCTCTGCTCCAGCTAGGAGCAGGGAGCAGACCTCGGGTCCCCAGGAGGGGCCGGCAGGAGGA